GTGCAAGCCTATTAACGAGTAACATTAATGTACTTCCTCTGTTAAAATATGATGCTGAAGGGATGACAGTGTGTGTGACATATAATCATGGTATTTGTCAAAATACAGGTGTATGCATCTATTATGCCATAAATTCTTCAATGACAGTTATTACTGAAATACAGGCCAAGTCTCAAATAATGCTTCTCTTTTTAACAGTGTAAGTGACCTTTAGCATGGCTCAGTTTATTCATTTATAGTTGTTATATAGATATATTATTAAGGCTGGAGCTTTTATTTTGAAGTAGGTCTCAAAAAAGTGACAGGTGTCAGCAGAGTAAAAGTGTTCAAAGGTCCAAACAAAGGGAAATGTCACACTTTTAAACTTTTTGTTTGTTTAGAACCACAAGGTCTGTCAGTATTTTGTTTCAAACTGAGTAACATTATGCTTTTTTTTTTTAAAATGAGCACGTGTGAGCTAGCAAGACTGCTATATTAGTTTAGTGCATGGCAAGTGTGTTGTACTTGACACCCAGTAATTATTATGTGGCTCAGTGAAAGTTGCTATTGTTAAGAAGTGGTGTGTTTTCAGTAACTGCAGTAGCATATATAAGGTAAAGCTACATTTCGTATGTGATTTTGCACCAACTATTTTCTATGTTAATTGAAAGTAAAAGGGTGAACAAATGTTTAAGGTGAATATGCTGACCTGTAGCATTATATCAGAGATTTGTCATTGAATTAAAAAGAGTTCAAATGTATGACATATGTAAGGCTGCGAAAGGATGGTAATATTGGTTTGTGTTTTTCATCTGAATTCTACAACTTTTTGTTTATGGTATGTTTATGGTGTGTTCAGGGTGTGTTCACAGTGTGTTCATGGAGCTACAGTAGGTCTACTATGTATTTGCTGATCAATAAAGTTCTTGTGAACCCTTTTTTAATCACTGTTAAGATACTTACAATGAAACAACCCATTTCCTGAAAATATTTCACTTTATAAACCTACCAAGAAAGGAAGATATACTCTTTGAGGTGATGGAAACCTTTTAATGTGAAAAATTTGCACAGGAAATGTTGAAGTTCTGCTGCTATCAAAGCAGCTAATCAGCTTTAAAAAGAACAGCAAAGTGGAACCAAATACATGAGTGAATAAAAATAATATTGATGTCTTTTGAAAAACTCTAGAAACCGAGTGGTCAGTATGATATGTTGACTCTATTAGATATGGGTTCTTTGTGTATTTGAGTTGAATAAAGGTCAAGGCCACTGAATCAGAATTTATGGGAAGCATAATTTTTGAGATTTCAAATTTCTTTCACAGGTTGTTTGCAATAATTAACATAACATTAACATAAATATATAGTTACCACAGTAAAATCATGATTGTGATTAGTTAAGTTTGACAAAAGTGCTACTTGGCTATTACATTTCAGTTATTCACACAGAATGTCAAAACTAAGACTGAAACAATGTCCCCTATAAGCCATACAGCATATAACAGGCAGGGGGGGTGGGGGGTGGAGGGGTGACATTGTCCTCATCGTACTGTAGATGGATGGATGAATTATTCTGCCTGTGAGGCAGGGAAACATTTCAGACCAAGATAGATGTCAGTTTGAAGTTTGACGGCACTTATTTCTAAAGCGTAATGTCACCTTGGCGGGGACATGGAGTTGTGTGCTCTGGACTGAAACCTGGACTGAGTGTTGCGTCCATCCAGAGATCTGTGCTGTGAGATCTATGGACCATGAGACCTGCGGCTTAGAGCAGGAGCTGCCATGGCTCGCCATCCAGAAAAACAGATCAGCTGGGTTAGCCACTGTGGGGCTGCCTGACTAGAGGGCTGGGCATCCGAGCAGGAAGCCATGTCACACCTACGCACTGGTGCACTTCTGCTGACAACCATGTATATTAGATTATCATTTTAGCCCCCAAACTCTATAAAACTGATCCTGCAAAGCACTGTGTGACTTCCAAGAGTTTCCTTCTTCAGATGTATGAAACAAAACTGAACTAGGACTGTCTAGACAACAATAAATAATGTTCAATTGGGCCTCATTCATAAAGCAGACATATGAAATCATCATTTCATCATTAAAAGCACTTTTCCTACCAGGACAAAGCTGTTTCTGCCTCAGTAGGTTGAGGGATTTATCTTACAATACAAAGCGTTCATATAACCTCAGCAGCAAAGGGAATATGTCTGACCTAAGCAAAACTGCGCCTTCAAAAGATTTAGATGAGCCTTTGAAAAGCTTCAAGAACACATCTTTAAAAAAAAAAAAAAAAAAAAAAAAAAAAAAACCTTTAATGGAATTCTATCAGGGTGTGGAGAAGTAGGTTGGACAGGGATTGGGGCTGGACACTGCGGCGGGAAATAAAGGATACAATTCTTTGCATGTCCCCTGGCCTGCTATGATGTCAACAGTGATTGACAGCTGGCGAGATGACAAGCACAACATACCACAGGCAGAAATATGGGTGTCTACAGTAAACATCTCTCTGCTCACACAGAGCAACGGCAAAAAATAAGCACTTCAAAAAGCACGGCCGTGGCCGGAACCAAATACTGTCGGGGAGGAACCTGAAATATTTCACTGCGCTTCAAAGGCTGATAAACCAGCAGCAGAAACCAGGGACTTTCTGCTTGCAGGTAGGAATCTATAAAAGGAGAGGAAGACAGCTCCAGACCTTTACAAAGATGTCAACAAATTCACATGCAATATACATTTCAACAAGACTGCAGAAGGAGAATTTGTTCTCAGTGATTCATGGGTCTTTATCTGCTGCAGCATATTGTAACCCTGTCGAGAACAAAGAAGAGCTGCTCTGCCTTCTTTGAGGTCAGTGCAACATGTATAATTCTTTAAAAGGAAAATTGCTTGCTTTTTATAAGCGACCTCAAATAAAAGAAATGACAGGATAGGTGTACCTCACTCTTGCCGCGGCTGTTTGCATGTTATTATCTCAGTGCCCCGTCGAGTCGATCTACCCTGTCATTTTTACCACTGATGTGTGTATTCTGAGGGGGTCTCCTTGCTTTTGTGACTTTGTCGAAGCAGAACATTGCAGATAAACAGTGACACTTCAGAAGAAACTGGAAACCCTCGTGGCTATCCGCGAGGAAGAATGTGCAAGAACCCCCCCGGAGAGAGGCTCAGTCCATCCAAGGGTCATTACCTAGCTGTGATCAGAATTCATAATGTGCGTACTGCCAAGATGAAAGGCCTCGGGAGACGTCTGCGCCTTCTATTCCGCTGTGCATGTCCATCAGCGCACCACGCTCCATTCATCACCGCATTCATCATCGTTTAAACAAGCTTCCCGGGTCGTGACTCTCTCCCAGAGCACCACATTGTTGACACCGAGAGGAGTATATAACTACATATTGACTCTCGGCAGAGCGGTGAGGACAAAAAAAAAAGAGATTGGAGGATTGGAGGTTTGACTTTGCTTCCTACGAGTCAGTTGGCTAAATGAAGGACTCTATTGCAGAGCCCCCCTGGGTCGCACGGCGTGAACTTGAGTTTTTCCCCTGCAGCAGCTGGGACATCAAAGCCCAGACTACCACCTGTGAGGGGCTTCTGGAAATGAACACCCATATCGTGACACCTAGAGGACTCCTATAGGGAGCGGGAGGTAGGGCTGCACTGCTCGCTGGGCCCCATCTGTCACGCAGCCAGCCGGTAAACACAGACATGTGGGGATGGCCGTGGGGAGGGTCACACACATCTACCCTCTGTATGTCTGCCTGCATTACTGCCCAGTGCATTTATTTATGTGTTTGTTTATTTGGAGGATGACACTGATGATGACCACATTAAAACTGTCTGATAGTTCATCTTCTTTACCGGTTTCATTGCTAAAACTGCTGCTGTGCTAACATTAATAACAATACTAATAACAGTGCCGGGCAGTTAACTGAAAAAGCATCCAAACCGACATTTAGAACCTCTCACCGACTTAATTTCCCTCATTAATTCAGTAAATACTTTCCCTGTTGCCGCGTTCGTTAACTGTCTCCTTAAAGAAACGCTGCCTCGTGTTCAGTCACGTGCCTCCGCCCCGTTCAACTACCGGCTAAATTCACTCGAAGCAAAGCTGCCGATACGGATGACAAGAGCACAAACACCGAGTCTCAGGTTATGTCCACACTACTACCATTTACTTTTGAAACGCACCACTTTTACTACATTGACATCTGGCGTCCACTGCTACTACCACAAGTTTTCGAGACACTAAAACTGAGACCTTTGGAAACGATGACGCAGACACCCGCCTGCACCTCCCTCGAAAAAAACACAAAAGAGAGAGGCCGATAAGCACCAAAGTCATTGATCAATAATCAAACTCGAGGTTAAAATGTTAAGATATTTGCGTGATATTGATTTGAAGTATAGCAGAGGAACTTTCGATTCGACTTATCAGTCATTCTGTCCATCTGAGATTGAAGCTACAACAACCAATGCTGTACAACTTTACTTCATAGGTGACTTAAACGATAAATGTCAATGGTTATGGATATTTTGTTGATATAATAGTACAATAAACAGCTAATCATATTGAAACTAAAGGGCTGTAGTTTAAATTACAGGCTGAAAAGACACTAACATTAAATCCTCTAATTTATCTTTTAAGCTCCAAAATCTTTTTTATTTCGTATTTGGAGGAAAGACGAGAGTGAAGTGGCCATGATAAGAAAAACAGAGGCTGAATAAACCCAACACAGCACACGCAACCAAAAACATTTCTTTGACATCAGTGCGCTTAAATCTAATTGTGTGGTAATTAAACCACCAATGATAGAGCGTATTAAACTTGTAACTCCTTAATCTGCTTTAGTAGGACAAGCATCGCCGTAATGGACGTAACGAGGACAGCAGAGAAATAATTAGAGAGGAGCAGGACGGGGAGGACAGAGGATGGAGAGTCAAGGGACGTGGATGATAAGATGGAGGGAGACTGACAGACAGACAGACAGATGCTCGAGATGATATTTGAGTAAACTCTGGCCTCACCTTGCCTCTCCCTGATTGATCACCATGTACATCTCCCAGGACATATTCTCAGCCACAGCTCCATGAGGCACCAGCAGGCTGACCCCTGGAAAAAAAAAAACACACACACAAGTATGTCAACAGCAGCCTGACAGCGTGGGCAAAACAAGGGTTTACAGCATGTTGTAGCTGCATGCGGGGGTTATGGGAATATTTACGTGAGCTTCATTTGACTTGAATGAGCTGTGGGACATCAAAGAATAAAGTGAAACTAACAAGTGTCTAAATAAAATATCATAATATGACTTTAACTAGAAACATAATGAATTTTAATGTGATTATTATGAAACAACAGTTATTTTAGCACATGCAAACACTGATCACGTGTCAGGAATATATCATAGGGTGAAGGAGAGTGTAGTTGAGATATTTACATAGGACTTGGCTCACTCATGCACATTGCTATGGGCTCCGCTAACTGCAATGTTTGTTTAAGGTCGGGTACGCACATAACTCTGAATCTCCTTCAAAACAAAATACAATATTCATAGTTCGTCTTTGTCTTTCAAAACCAATACGTGGGCACACTGTCACTGTATTTGATTTGATTATATTTGTGCATAATGTTGTTAATGTGCCTTTACTTGGACAATATGATACGTCCTCCATATTTTTCCCTGATTATCGATGGACAATAGCTTAACATGTTTGAGCTGCTTATACGGACACTTAAGAGACTTTAAAACGACGGAGAGATGTGTGTTTGAGCTTTTATGTTATTTTGGTGTTGGTGTCTTCCGACGTTGTCTAAAGAGAGAGAAAAAGAGAAAATAAAACCGACAGCTGTATGAAGTGTGGCCATTATTTGTTGGATCAGTGTAGCCACACAGGGGAAGTTATGTTTCTGAGCCAAGCTAACGTTGAGGATTAGAACTAGCAGACAAGACAGAATCTGAAACGAACAAACATCCAAATCTATCCCAGTCAAGCTTCACCTGATCAGCCTGGACAGGAATAAATGGCTACAGAAAATAGATGAATGACTCAACATTTGATATGAATTATTCTGCAACCACTGTCTGTCTGAATCAGGCACTTTGAACAATAAGAATTAAAACAATCTCTGTATTTATTCCAGATCTCGCAGCCAGCAGCATTTACAAAACTTCTGATTATACAACACCCTTCAAGAAGTAAGTGGTGAGTTTTTTTTTTTTTTTTGCTCTGCGTCAACACAGCAACACTGGCCCACTACTTTTCATCAGCACTGCCTGACACTATTCATCTGCTGCTGTGTGAATGGCGACGCAGTCACAGTGAAGAGCAGAGAGCATATAAAAGGCCTGCTTTACAAATAAAAGGTTCAGAGGAGCAGAGTGGGAGATGACAGATAAAGACGGTGTTTGGCAGCTGTACGGAGAGTGAATATTTTGTAATACCACAGCCAGTCTTTGAAATGTGCATTTTTAACCAGTGTGTTTTTATTAAATAAACATGCTGTGTCACATGTTAGTGGAGACTGCTCTATTGGCACCATTCAGTGCTAAAACCCTGCATATCTACACACAGTAAGCAATGGAAATAGAGACTGTCAGTCAACAGAGTCAAAGACAACTGACATTTCTCGTGTAGTATTAAAGGGAGACTCTGATTGGACAGGGAAAGGTCAGTTAACTTGATGAAAGCAGAACTAGTCAGGCTGAAAACAGAAATAACTAAACAGAGTTCTGCTAGGTAGGGAGGGACCAAGAGGTACAAATTCATTCTCTTCATTCAAAATGCACTTCCTGTATCTTTGAGCCACTACCAATGTGTTGGACGCATGTCTGTTCTCGTAAAAAACATTTGCAAAGCCAATATTGAGAATATTTTTGGAATGTGCATTGTTTATGTCCATGTCCTCTTCCCTGCCTTTACTGGCACATTGTTGTGTTGCTTGGCACGCTACTGCCGCCAACTGTTACTCTGTTAACCTGCAACAAATCTTCCTTCACGGAGGTTAGAATGATCAGTGTGAAGGTTTGCGCCACATCATACAGAGTAGTAAACAAAAATGACGCAACTGCTTTTCTGGTTACAGCTCTTCAATTTTTGGACCGCTCATCATTGATGGATGAGAATTATTATTGATGGCCGTTATCCAAGACACAGCAGCAATGCTGGCAGTGTGGACACGCGTGCGTGCGTGCGAGCTGCAGCAGCAGTTCAGCGAGGTAGGTAGACATCGTGCACAGGTGAAAGAAACAGAGTCTGATAAAGTTTGTTGTACCAAATGTTTTTTGTGGTCATTCTTCCACACCTTACTTTGGCCTTACAGGTACTACAAATTGGACCGAAGGCAGGGTGTGTGTGTGTGTGTGTGTGTGTGTGTGTGTGTGTGTGTGTGCCGCATGAGTGTAAATTTGACCTTCACAGAATCAGATATTTGAGACTGATCAGCCGATCACGCTTAAAACCGGCCTTTTCAGATCGGCGGCCGATGGACCGGTGCATATCTACTGTCAGTATAAACACTGTAAAGTTCAACAGCACCGCAAACTGCAGCCTTAGAAAATGATCATACAGGTCATCATCAACATCTCTCTAAAACAGCACCACTGTATGAGACTATATTAGTGTTAGTTAGATGCACTTCATAAAGTTGAGTGTAAGTTGTCAGCTTCATCAGAACTTGTTTCGTACTGGGTGCGTTTTGCAGCGCTGGTATTTACTCAGGTTTTCCGATGTGCAGCACATTTCTTCATGCTGTATGTGTTGTCACATTGGTGTTTCGTAGTTTGCTGTTGTACCTTATTTAACTACAGGATTTTTCAAAATATGACATATGTGTTGTCTAGGTGATTAAGCTCTTTTCTTCTAGTGCTTGTTGTTATTTTATCCATTTTTATCTGTTTGCTTAAGTGTCACTAATCACCTAGAAGTTAGTTACCTAGTTCCAATTAAAAATGTTCAATGTTCAAAATGTTTTTTTAGTTCTGTTAACACCTCTGCTAATTCCATTCTCCTCCACTGTCTTGAAGGCTAGGCTATGGTGATCAAGAAATATATGTTTTTATGATCTGTGTGAATCCATTGTTTATAAGACTCAAGTGAGCTGTAAGGAACGCTGCTATTTTGGTCCAATACCACTAAGGTGAAGAGAAAGGTTCAGTAATCTGCAGTGAAGGGCTGCGTATGGCTGGCTACTGAGTCTAATGAATAGCCGTCCCTGCAGACAGGCTGTGCGAGTGCTGCACTTGACAGCAGCGACTCCTTCACTCACACCCTCAGCCCTGAAAGATGACCGCAGGAGGCTGATTTCTCTTCACCTCTCCACGCAGGCCGAGGGCCACGGCTACATGCATGAGGACCACAGAAGAGGGCTTTAAGTGCAACAGTTCACACGGACTGTTGACCTCAAGACAACTGGAACGGTCCATGCGAGCTCCTCCAATCGCTCCATTTGTGTTGGTGGGACATGACGACTGTGTGACCCCTGTCTGCCTGAGAGAGCCTGCGAGGATGTGGAAAAATAACTAGCTACCTTCCTCGGCAACAGCACTGATGGATCAGCAACGGCGTTCAGTATATGGTGACTACGGAGGGTGAACATATGCTAATAGCTATGATACATATATTGTAGTAAAAGGCTGATTTCTTAGTCAGGCTGTATAAATATTTTGGCACCAGACTTATTTAAGCCCACACACTTTCACTTGTATATAAAGGCTGTGCAGCAAAATAAATGGTGCTAAAATGCAGCAACACAGAATTCTGGGGGAATTGTTGGAGGGGTGGAGACGGGGTTGGTTGGGTAAGAATGCTCATCTACTAGAAGCAAACTTGTTTATTTTCTTTCAGAACTAAGGGATTTTTTAAATATACTTATTAGTAGTTCTTTACCTTTAAAGTGTGTATATGTGTGTTGCACAGGGGCAGAGTGGGACATTTCATTTTACCAGGAAATAAAATGTATTATTAATTAATAATAATTATCTATATATCATATATCTATATCTAATTTTCCTTTTTAATTCTAGCCTTCTGTGCTCCACCTTTCTCCTTTCTCTTTTTGCTGCTGCTTCCAAACTAATGTGAACAGTGAACACACACATTCCCTGGATAACACCAACATGTATCTGGTAGCTCTGCAGGAGCCTGAAGGAGAGTCCATAGCTGTTATTGGCTCATTAGCTGACCAAGTAACACAGAGGTTGTACCACTTGAGGAGGGGCTGCTCATTTACCCCCTTACCACGCACACTGGGAGAGACAAGGGGCTGCGAGTGCACAGTTTACACCTGCTGGATGGCGCAGCAAGGTAGACTGCTGTTATATAACGCAATATCTACACAATAATCAGTCTGGCCCCCTCACTGTACTGATCTATGTTCTCACTACTCCACTGTACAAACGGTGTGCAGACATTGTGCAGAGATGTACTACAGCAGAGGAGAGAAGATACTCTGGCCTATGTTCCTTTTTATTTAAGGATAAAAAAAAAGATTAAAAAAAATAAATAAAACGTTCAATTTTTTTTCACTGTTGATCTCTTTCTCCTCTGGTTCTCCTTCTTCACGTAGTTTATGATATTTCATCTACAGACGACACGTCCTTCCACAGGAAACTGACCCCTGACATGAAGCTGTGTATTTAGCCTTAAAATAGCTCCTCTGAGTTTGCAGAAAACTGGTGCCTTCGAGATTAATGTCAGTAAGACAAAGATATGGTTGTTTGTAGCAGGGTTTTACTGGACGACGCGGCCAGTTTGCCTTAGTGACCAACATGCTCAAACTGTACAAACATATCGAAACATCTTGATGAACATTTTCTATGTCTGTTTCTACTCTTCAATTTTTTTTTTTTTTTTTTACAGGCATTTCCCAAAGGAACACTCAAGACCGAATCCATGCACACTCAATGTTGGTGGAGCCTGCTGACTGCTGAATACACTTTAAAGTATCATGCCTAATTACACTGTCTGTAAACTGTGCTGTATATTACAAATACACAAGCTGTTGCTCTCGGATTCTGGCAGACACGAAAAAGAAAAGTTTTTGGTTCTTTTAGTTGTTGGATTCTCACAACTTTGTACAAGTGAGTAGGAGGGCTGTTCATCTACAATCTTTCCAGTATCTTCTGCTTTAGGTGAAGAAATTTTAAAAAGGCTTCAGGATGGATTTTTATGATTGTCTCAGCTTTTACGATGGAAAACAGGGGCCCAGACTACTGCCTGAGCTTTGCTAAATGTATTACTTATTAGTGTTAGTATTTTCAAGAAGTGCTTGAGAATCATAATTTTCTTAGGAGAGAGATGAAAGTTTCAGAGTTAATCAATGTTAAATGTTAAAAAATGTTTAAAAAACATTGGAACACAGTTAGTTGAAGCTGAATGCTTAATCTCTCCGTCAGAAGAACAGATAAAGCAAGAGACAGACACTTCTCATCTTTTATTCTCTCAATCTGAGGCTCTGAGCTCTGGGAGGTACCGCAGGGTGCCTGCACAACTCTTTTATTTCAAGTCCAATCAGCATTTTTAATGAAAAAAAAAAAAAAAATGTAAATCTTCCTCCCAGAATTCAATTTCATGTTGTAATCCATACTTTATTTTGTTCATTTTATAGTTTTATGACTGTCCTGTGTTGTCTACCCAGATGTGGTCCTGTTAACATAATTGTTTTCTATATTAAATGCTGTTGTGCTGCTTTTATGTTTTTGGGAGTTAATTTTCCACTTTGGTAGAAAACAACAATAACGTTGCATTTTATTTTCTTCTATCCATCCCCTTTTTGAAAGGGGCTCCGTGTACCACCTTCACTGCACCACCTTTATCATGTGCTGACAGAAGAAACTATGAAAAACTGCAGCAAATTATTTACAACAACAACAGCAACAAGCAGCATGGAAGTTGAGAAACATGTAGACGTTTGTTGTCTTGTGAGACTCTGGTGAAGCTGCAGCTAATGTTAAACAGTGCTGGTTTATGACAGCTACTATAATCAGAAGTTACTGCAGCCTCTTGTTATGGAAACTAAGACTGAGGCAGCGTTTTTCTTCCAACAAACTAAGCGTGTGCTGTTATCTACTTCCTCACCGGTGTTTGGCACCACCAGTCGCCCTCCAGGGTGGCCGAACACGCCCGTGGTCCTCAGCTGCTCCTTGCCGGCGCTTAAGGGCCCGTTGAGGGTGAGCAGCCCCTTCTTGCGTCTGTCCATGGTGCTGCAGTAGTCCCGGCTCAGGTCCCGTGGGAAGGTCTCGGCGGGGGCTTTGGCGTGGAACTCCGCGCGTTCCGCCACACCTAGTGAAACCATAAAGGAGCTCTGAACTTTGACCTTGATGTCTGGCAGGGGGTCAAAGAGCTCTTTGTCTGTGCTGTCCTGGAAGCAGAGGGGAGTACTGTATGTCCGTCCCACTGTTAAGTCAGGCTGCATCGAGGAGTTGAGAAGCAGTGGGTTGCCTACAGAGATGGAGAGATAGCACAACCACACAGTCATCTGAAAGTCCTGCTCACACGGGACTCGCATTATGTGGGGAACTTGTTTAATTAATGAATCAAAGCCCAACCTCTGTGTTTCCTGAACAGCACTCACATGGGATAATGATATTCACTGATGTCCCAGATACAACTAAATAAGGTCAAGATTGTGTTATATTTCTTTCTCTTTTTTGTTATTTCTTGATTTAGCAAAGCAAAAGTTGAAATTCTAAGAAGTTTAAAAGCTGAAAATCGTGTCAAGAGTCAGTTTTCATGACAGGAAGAAGATGAAAGAAGAAATTAAATGTGCCACTCGGTTTTTGCATTGATTAAATATTAGCAGGGAATTTCTGTCTGCAGCACAATAGAGTACATTCCATTCAACAAAGCTGTTATTTTACAAAAAGCAGACATGGCAGATTTGACATTAAAAATCACCTTTAATCTCCAGAATTAATTAAAATTCCTGGATGTTCCCAGGTAACATTAATCCAGTTCAAATCAGGTTTAAGAGACACATCTCTGGGCTCCTTCTGCAATTTCCTGCAGCTGACCAGTGATGCTCCGGCATCAATTAAAACAACATGTCCAGGCAGGCGATCAGTGCATCAGGGGTAAGGGAGTGCAACCTGGACAGAAGGTCCAGGGCTCGGAGCCACAGTCGGTGCGTTAGATTTAATTACCAAGCGCACACACAGCTTGATCTCCATAATCCATCTGCTGGAGTCAGCTCCTCTGGACAGCGAGTCGTCCTCCTGAAGGACAGGAGGAAAGGCCATGAGGGGTCTAGGTGACTGCTCTGTAAATGAGGGGAGTCCTTCAGCTTCCAGTGTGGACCCAACAGCCCATGGAGGGGGGTCTTCATCTGTGGCCATTAGATGTGACGACGCTGCCAAACGGAGCGAGGAGTGCGCCGCATCGATCTGGCAGACTCAGACGTGCGGTGCCCCTTGATGAGCCATGCCAAGATAACGGCGAAGTCACTGAGTCCTTGCTGCCCAGCTGTTGCCTGGCGAGGGGTGCAAGGCGGGAGGCTAATGTTGGTTTATTTTTAGGGAAATCGTTAATTACTGGAGGCATGATTTGTGATGAGCATTTTGGGGTGTGTTCGTTTTGACTCGTTCTTCAAAAAGTCAACTTGCCGGTTGTTTTTGTTTAACATCTGAATTTTTGTGATATAAACTTTGGAAGAGAACCAGGAATTTATTCTTATTATCAGACGAGAAGAGGCCTCAGAGCCTCCTCTCTTCTGATTGGCTCACAGGTCGTGTTGTTACTACAGCTCCAGAGAGAAGCCTGAGAGGGGAGATGTGAAACTACACTGAGATGGTTTTCGGTTTTTAAAACAAATAAATAAAACTCAGGAAAAGCGGGTGTTTTTTTCAACATCATAAAGCGTAAAATGCAAAAGTAACTTGCCAAACTCTTACTTTCAAACACATAATTCTGTACTTTCATACAAAGCTCACTGCACTGAATCCCATGTTCAGTCCTCCTGTCAACTCTTACTCAACTTTCTTTGTGCTGTACTGATGTAATGTTTAATACAGATCTTCTGTTTGAGTGCTGTGTCAGATTTTGAGGCCAACATTGGGAGTACAGTGTTTTGTGTTATGAGTGTTCTCAAAATACTGTAATTGAACAAATGTCTGAACCACTTTTCCACAGTTGAAGGGGACGTCTTCAAATGTCTTATTTTGTCTGACCAATCCAGAGATATTCAGTTTACAGTTACAGTGTACAAAAGAGAGAAAAGCAGGAAGCTGGTTCCAGAAATGAGTTTTTGTTTGATAAATGACCTCGATGACTAATCAATTAATTTTTTATGTCTATCAAACAAGCCCAATATTCAACCTATCAATTCAGCCCCAACAGTGAGTATGTGGATTTCAATTCTGTATTCAATAGTAATATTGTTGCAGGGATTGGAGCTGTGACTTATGTGATCTTGCACATGGACTCTTATTCACTCGGTCACCGCGCTCCATGATTGCACCTGCATTATGAATGATACAGGGCGTGAGCAGATGTGATACATAATAACATTTTCAGGTAATTTCTACTAAGATAATGTCCCATAAAAATATATATATGCGCCATAAGAAATGAAAAGGTGTATTTTTTCATTTCTTAGCAGTCTCACAGTGACAGGGAACCCAGAGGCGACTCTGCGGATATTCCAGCTCTCGGTCGGAGCTGCAGCCCGGTGGACATTACCCCTCTGCAGCTGACATTCGATCACTGCTAAATTTTCTCCACTCCGGTCGAGTGGAGAATGATCTGATTATCGCTTGAGTGTGCATCTTTAAGAATGGCGCGGCGAAAATGGAATGGCAGTGGTGAGATGAGAGAAGTTAATGAAATGTACCTCAGGTTGAATACCTTGAGGGATAGGTTTGGAATTGGGCCTCTGATTAAAAATCACTCAGAAGGAGAAGTAATGCGGAGAGACAGGGTCAGGTCCAAAGACTCATTCAGCACTGTGCCTTACAGCCGCTCCGGCAGCAGAGAGCCATCCGAAAGCATTTAAGAACTTCTTTAAGTCATCACCTTTTTTTTTTTTTTCTTTGTGGCAATTATTAGGCATGAAAAAGCCACTGATTTGCAATTAAACACACACTTTTAAAGGCCCCCCCCCCCTAGAGGAAGCGTTTAATTTCCTGCTATGTTTATGAAAAGGACGGTAAAATGTTAACAATGCAGTCACAGCAGAAGTAGGCTGATATAAAATGCCTCAACAACTCCAAAACAAACTGGGGCTGCCGTGAGAAGAGAGAGAGGAGGAAGTGTTCTTCATTTCACGGGGAGCCTCGGCCGGCTGATAGAGAGGAAAATGGAGAGGAGTGATTGTGGCCGGTGGATGGGCAAGTCAGGGCCTGGACTAAGGCTAGGGCTCAGCGAGCAGAGAGCACGTGCTATTTACGAGATCATATAGGGAATTACTACCTGTGGATTGTGGACCCGACTCACCCCCCCCCCCCCCCCCTAATCCCCCTCACTCCCCTCATATCCCTCCAATCACGTGAGGAGGGGTGGGGCTCGAGCGACTCCCAGGGCCTTGGAGGAGCCGAGGGCACGGTGTGGGCTCCTGTGGGGCTTCTCATGGCGTTGTCACCGCGGCGGCGAGGATGGATCACCCATCGCCACGATGGCTATCACTTGCGGTAACCCAGAAGTGTCAGTGACAGTAATATGAATGCCTGTAGCGAGGCTGGCCGGGACAGCCACAGTCACATAACCAACTGAAGTTATTGCTGTGCACAACAAAAATTGAATTGATGTTCACTGTTCCATACCCCTCACATTTATCCATCAGAGGCTTAGGCCAGTGTAATCTGATGGAGGAGATTGGTTGCCTGACAGTCAAATGTGTGGTCCGCGGGGAGGGGACGGCGCGGCACCGGTGTCTATCAGAGATTGATTATCTCCTTTTTCACAATAACAGAGGAGCAGGTATGTCAAAATAGAAGGACAGATCCTTTCACTGATTATGGAGGTATAAATCCCAGGCAAATAGGGAGGCTGCACGGCACGCTGCTCCATGTAAACAAATCCCATCAATCACCGGGCCGGCGCTGTCGCAGAGGTCTTTGATGATGCTGGCTCTTGGCCTTGTGGATGTCGGCACGTGTCAGTGTGGAGTTGATGGCACTCGTTCTTACCTTGTCTGGTGGTCTTGAAGTTGAAAGACTGGAAACCCCCGGTGAGCGCGGAGGAGTCAATGACGTCCACTCCGTACTCGCTGTGGTTCTTCCTGTACAGCATGACGGCCACTACGAGGATCGCCACGGCGATGATGCCGGCTCCAAGACCCGAGTACAGAGCTATGTCGTTGGAGCCGTCCATACCTGCAACACACAAGACACATGGAAAAGGAGAGTTACTGGAAAATCTCATATAAAAGCTGGTACTGAAATAATGCTCGGGTCTCAAATGAAGAGCTGACGTGAACAAATAAAGGTCAGTTGCTAATACAGAAAAAAAACAAACAAAACAAAGATATACTTCCTCACATTTTCTCACATTAAAAGCCTACCTATAAAGGGAAGGCTCATAGACTTGAAGTGAAAGAAAGAGAGGGAAGCTTAATTGAGCTTCATTTATTGAGTTGAGCTTGCGGACATGATTTGCGCTGCGCTCGCTGCTCGGGTCAGCGCACTGTTCTGGGGACAGAGCAAACATAGGCAGAGTCTTTCATTGATAACATCAAAGATGTTTCTTTCCTGTGCTAAGAAGCAAGTGTTAGCACTGGCCTCACTAATAATAAAAAGAAGGGGAGCAGCAGGGAAGAGGCTATGGGTGCCCTCAGGTACAGAGAGCAGCTTGGGGAACTTAAGCTTGTGAAGGAGCTCCGTTTCCACAGCGACCAGTTTCCGGCCTACTTTCTGTGCCTGGCAGGATGCCTCATTTCTATTGGCATCTATCGGCCGAGCGGTGTGCCAGGGTGCAGCGGTCAAAGCTCAACTCATCAAACGGCATAAAACCGCCGTGGCGCAGCGCAAACCATTGGAAATAATGGGTTTCAGAAAGCCCCATAACACAAAAGCCAAAGTGGAGCTTCCGACATGATTCTTTGCTGTACTGGTGGAGTTAGTGCTGTGGAAATGAAAATTTCCCTGAATTCAGCAAGACCACAGGTAAACATGGAGGAAGTTCAGTTTGTAGTGACTAGAAATTAGAAATAATATCATGTCTCTGATACAAGGCTAAATAACGGCCATGTATGTGACAGTGTGTGCATGAGACAGTACGTAAATATGTTCTGCTGAGATTCCTCAAGCAACTGGGTCAGTTCTTTTCTACAGTGACGAAGGCAGCTTTGCCGAAAAAGTGTTCCACATAAAAGAGTGAGTTTGTGTTTGCTGTATTAATAAAGACCTCGACACAGTGAGGAGGAGATGGAAGAAGATCAGTGAAGACAGTGCTGTTATTATGGAGACATTCAAGGGCAAATACATGCAAGAGTTACAGTGTGTTACACCGGCTACAGCGTGGAAATGAAACGAGAAGGATGGAAAGTGGTAAGATGGAGCAGACCATCTGTCTTATCTCTCTATGCTACATTATGCACCACAGATAGGAATAAATGAGCATGTCCAGCAGTTAATCTAAACTGTTACATATCACACTCAAGCTGCTAACATGGAGGGTGATTAGCCTAACTGCCTTTAGACCCACCGGTCTATATCCAATAGCTATGATGGATATCTCCACAGTGACGGCAATTAGGAGCCCATGCGGTGCAGGTGGTGGTCACCGGTTGGACCAATCCGAGGCAAATTCATTTATAGTGTTCCTACCAAGGCGACCGCTCGACACATATCAGTTTAATGCACTACCTGTTCAATCATGCAAGGTTTCCTTAAAGCTGCTTAGAACACAGTAGGCACGACTTTTACTCTAATGTGGCAGGCTAATGAAAGCACTCAAGCTAGCACCTGACAATCACTTAGCCGGGCTAACTCCGGTGAGTGATTGAAAGCCGCCACAGGAATGTGAGGACAGCACCGTAAATTGGTCAAATTAGCTCGTTTGCAATGATTACAACCCATTAATCCTTCACAACATAGCACATGTTCACTTGTCACAACCAATATATCTCCTGGCTCAAAGTAGAAACACAGCTGTGATGTCACGGTTGTCATAAAAGTCGGGCACTGAATAATGACATGAATGCAAATGAGCACTTTGCTGGGTTAAAGCAGGAGTTGATCAGATCAAGGTGAACTAATTGTTGGTAATTCGTGATGTTTCTGTTTCCAGGGTGCGTGCCGAGTGAATGCAAATGACTGTCACTCCTTTTTCTGCTAAGTTTAAACTTTGAATATATCATCGCTCTTGCCCGCTGAATTCAAGGCATAACATATTAGTGGCAGGTGGGGACTGGGAGTTGAAGATGAAAGAAATTCACAGAGGAAGACTCACTTTGAGGTTTAACGTCATGTAGCAGCTTTCGATCTGCAAAGACAGAGAGATAGAATGAGACAAAGAGGAGAGAAAGTGGTGATTAAAGTCCGAGCCTATGTGAAGTGACTAACAAGTGTGAAAACCCTGAGCAGAGAGAAGCTCTTCTGCTGACTGTGCTCATAGATGACATACACTATCTGATAATGGCTGGGCAGGCATCATTACTGATTACTGTCCCCATATCACCATAGATAAAGGTGGCGAGGTGCAAACTGCTCAAACTGCTTGGAAATGCCTGAGTGGGCTAATCATCTCCCAACACAAGTCCAAAAGACAAGTCTGATTTATTCCAGAGGTATCAGGTCACACATATAGTTTTTTAAAAATTTAGAGTTTCTCCAAATGTAAATTATGGAAACCAACATGAACATTATAATCATAAGCACATTCTAGTAGAGCTGAACAACTTGAGGAAACGCCAGTCTTGTATTGGTGGTCTACATTGAAATGAACAACGTGCACTTGTGCCAACCTACAGAAGAGTATCGCTGCCACACAGGAAAAAGAAGAAGGGATCAGTATCGCATTATAATGTAAAAATTATTGTTATAACAACATATTTTCACGTTATAACATGATATTTTCCCATTATTATGAAAATACAAGCTCAACAAATTTCAAATCAAAAGACTTTTCTTGTTATAACAATATTCTATTTATATTGTAAGAACATTTTTTCATATATATATATATATAGAGAGAGAGAGAGATAGATATGAAAAAAATGTTCTATTCATATATATATATATATGTATATATATATATATTTGACGACATATTATTATAAGATGAAAATTGTCATGTTAAAACATGATAATTTCAAACTCATATTTGAATGAGGAAACAGTGTGGGGAGAATAAATTGAGGAATATGGCTCACTTAACGGATTTGATGACATTCTAATCTTGCGGTTATTGTCACAAACAACACCTCTCTCCTACCATAGTGAGGTAGACAACAAGCTACAAGCTACTTTTCATCAAAACGAGCTGGAGAAATGACACTGTTCTGTGCGTGCAGCCAACTGTGAGTCGAGTGTGCAGGGACCGTCTGCAAAGTGCAACCCCCGAAAACAGATACCACAAAACTGTTCAATAACTTCCTTCTTATGCACCATAGTGTCACAAAAATCCTGTCACACATCAACAGCCTCCTGTTGGTTATACTGCAGCACTTAGTTTATAGTATGTGTAGAACTTTTATTAGGAATAATATTCAATAATAAAAGTTCTTATCGTGATGAGCTTGTATGTCGCAATAACATGAAAACATATTGTTATAACGTGAAAAACATCTTGATATAACAATACATTTTTCATGTTATAACATGATACTGATCCCTTTTTCTTTTTCTGGCGTGGCAGCAATACGCTTCCGTACCAACCATAATAAATAAGAAATAAATGACAAATCACAAACTTCTACGTGAAGGAAAAAAACAATATAACAATGTAGTTGCTGTTGTGCAGATGTCCTCCCATTTCAAGCCAAACGAAATAAACAATGTTACTTGGCTACCTTTATATTGATAAAAATCTTTACATTTAAGAGTGGTGTTATATATATTCATAACAGCTGCTTAACTTGTATATTGGCTCATATAAGGGTCACTAAAATTTTTAGCTAGGAAAGTGATGTCAACAAATTATTATAATAAAGAAATGCTCTAAATCAACCTGTGTAAACCTGTTAAATAAATCTGCATGAGAAATTCAAGTTTGTGTATTTGTACAAAAAAAAAAAAAAATGAGATGCACCTCTTGTGATTTGAAAACCCTTCAAATCACAATTCTTATATAAAAATCACCATTCAGCCCTACGCTGCAGTCATTATTCATACTCGTGTCACACCAGTAAGTAAAACATTGGGATTTTGAAGTCATTGCATGTGCATGACCCAAACAGTGCAATGACATTTCATTCCAAACCTCAAGCATCATTCAAGAGTGAATGTCTGCACTTCTTACCCTGTGACAGATTCAGTACGACACACAATATGTCAAGTGAGCAGCACACAGGAGAAAGAGTGCTGACATTATCATGCACTGGGCATCTGTGTCAATCCACAGCGTGATTTCTTTCCAACACACACCTCCTGTTCAAACATGCTTGTGATAGTTTACCGTGAGTGTATGTATACACAGTATGATGATGAGAATGATAGGAAAATGATGAGAATGATGATGACGCCCAGCAGGGAGAGAGGCCTTACTCTGGGTACACAGTCCATCTGTGCAGTTCTCAGTGGCCTCGCTGTTCCCTTCGCACATCTTGCCTCGGTGTCTGGGTGCCGGGGAGTTGCATTCGCGACTCCGCTGCCTCTCGCACTGGTTGCTGCATACGGTCCATTCGCTCCACTCGTCCCAGCCTCCGTCAACTGCAACATGAGGATACACACACGTGTGGATTGACAGAGACTAGCTGTTGAGATTTACAGACATACCGCATGTGTATAAATTCAGAGAGAGAGAGAGAGTTCAACATCCGAAGATATATTCTATTTGCTGTTTCGTTTTTCTTTTTTCTTTTTTGAAAATGTATTGTGTCATCCTCATGCTGGATTCTGGACATGATTAGCCTAGCTTAGCAGGCCAAGACTGAAGGCAGAGGGAAACAAGTAACAGGCTAAATTCCCCTAAATTCATAAATTCACACTTTTCTATAAGGGTTTAAAATGGTAATTTGGTGGCCATATTTTTTAACTTTGTTCACAGGCAGGCGAGTTGTTTCCCAATGACTTTGGTCTTTTTACCTAAGCGGTCTCTCAATCAAAACAATAACAAAAGACGCTGTGAAGTAGCGTGCGATCATGGAAGTTGTTATCTTCACCACCATTGCCATCTGCTTTTCCTGGTTTGGATTCCTTCACCAGGAGCCAGATTTTCCACAGAGGTGTCCCCCTCTCCATAACAAACAGACCAGGGGATTAAAACCAGTATAAATACCCATAAAGCAGTTTCACTTTAAAAATCAGTGATTCACCAACGCACTTTGGCATCTAAGAGCTGAGCTGCCTAACGTTAGCCTTATTTCTTTGATAACTTAATATCCAGACGACCGATGAATAAAATCCTTCATCTGGTTAAAACATATAGTTGTAAACGACCATGTATGTGGCTTAAAATTGGATAAAAATTCAATTTTGAGCTTGTGGTAGGCAACTACAACATGGAAACATGTGCATAGGGGGATGATGAAACGGACGATTACCATGATTAAAATTTCTCTGGTTTGAGAATTGATGCAAACATTTAGGATAATGTATACAACTAACACATAACTTAGGTCTCGTCATTTTTAAGACGTTTTAATGTGTAAAAGTTACATATTGTAACTTTAAAGAAGCGGAAAGAAACCAGAAAAGCACATTCCCCAAAATATTGAACTGTTCCTTTAAAGTGAAAACAGTGATGTCCAAATATCAGACAAAGGACGAGTACTATCATCCATCAGATGTCTGCAGACACTGTCTCAACTTTCATTTTGGTGCTATATTTACTCACATTCAGCATTAAAATATGTCCTTAGTGGACACATATTCAGTATGACACACAATACACATGGTGATGTGCCGGTACAGCTTGAGGGACATTTTCTCCCCATTAACCCCGAAGCCTGTTTATATAATGGAATTTGATGCAAGGCTATGAAACCAAGACAGCTTGGTGCATGCTAATAGCTGGGATCCTTCCACCGTGCTCTGTCATCTGATCAAGGAAGAGCTCATCATGCTTAGCTTAACAAATATCGGGAGACCATATGGCGCCTGAAGATTTTTTGGCAGCAGTAATACAGTCTTGTGGGCGACGGAGGAGGTAATTTTCCTTTGTGATGTTCAACGGGCCCTACCTACGCTCAGCTTTTTTTTTTTTTTTTTTTTTTTTTTGTGGTTTCTTCTCAGCTACTTGAAATGCAAACGATGTGTTTATGTTGTGGAGAGAATGCTGAGTGCTTCTGAGTTTGATCGCAGTTGCCGCTGAGTGTATGCATATTGCTTCCCCTATGACTTGTTGCTCTGATTCTGTTGAATGAGCTCATCTGCCTACTGGTACACAATAGATAGAGTCTGACAAACTGTAATGATGGGAAAACTCCACATCACTTTCAATACCCTTTGGACACTATTCACAACCCGAGCTCCATGTTTTTTTTTTTTTTTTTGCTGATCACTGCGTTCTTCATGTCTACTTTCTTAAATTGGCCAGTCACCAGATTCTCATTCATTTGTTTTGGTGACATTTTGGCTGCGAAGCAGATATTGTGATTTTTTGTGTTCAGCCAATTCTTTCTTCCAAACACACCAGAGGATTTTTAAAAATCGAAAAAAAAACAAACTCCTGTGATGAAAAAATGGCAAATAAACAATAGGTCTCACCTCCTGTTACATAGACTGGCAATAGATAGTTGAACATATGCAACATTTCCAAAGAGACTGTTGCTGTAGCTGTAAGATTCAATGATTGCCAGCTACCTGTTATCTATCTCAGACTCAAACCTTGCAGTCGCAGCCTGGTCTCCCTCAGTCTCATCACAGGACAAGTCAGTCTGCAGAGCCCATTGGAGAAATATAATTGACTGTTTTATCTCTGTTAGCTAGAGCACCAAGATCTTTTACCATCTAAAGCCAAACTGAGTCAGGAAAAGTAAAGACTTCACTGATCTTTAACTGGATCTCAAACCTGTGAAATTTTTTCAGGATGTCATATGTCAAAGTCATCGAGTATAAATTCTTCACTTATCTGTATCTGTATGTGTTTTCAGGCTAAGGGGAAAAGGGTGATTGGGCATTCGCTGTTGTCGCCCCAAAGCTTTGAAACAGCTTTTTTAATTAACTGTTAATTAAGTGTTCTCCCTCCGTGGACATTTTTAAGGCTAAACTCAGGCTTTTGAGTATCCCTAAGGTTTTATTTTTCACTTTTATCCTCTGTGTTTTAACTGTCCCGTCTGTCTCTGCCTATGGGGTAGTTAAAATCCTCTCAAATGTTATCTCCTTGCTTTTGTTTCCTTTCCGCAGATACCATCTCATGTTATTTCTTTGTATTTTATCGTACAGCACTTTGGTCAACTCTGGTTGGTTAAATGTGCTTTATAAATAAACTTGATTTGAAATTTCTTTGGTTAGGTGTTGTTTTGGAGGGGAAATATCAGAAGCATTAAAATGAGGGACGTGGAGCATCCTACTTTAGCATAGGTTTCACACATAAGGAGATACTTCATCTTTTGGTTCACTAGCATCAGGACATTGAAAAGTCTTTTGAGCAAATCTTGCTCAAAAAAAGAGGAAATGTCAGTAGAAGCGCAACAGGATGATAATTCACAGAAATCTCACTCGACTACCAAAAGTACAACACATTTGTGAGTGTTTGCTATGCAGGGAATAATGAATGTGATTTCAGACACAGAGCAAGACTCTTGTGCGTCAGTTAATTCAAACACATAATCGATTGGCGACCTGAGTGATAGCGAGGCGACTGGGGCCACGAGCAGGAAACAACAAGCACGTCTCCTCATGAGGTGTGATGATGTGCTTCTGGCTGTTGTTAATCTGTGACGTGCTACAACGTGGTGGAAAGAGAAGCGTTATAAAGTCAGCAGACTGAACGTGTGTGTGTGTGTGTGTGTTTTTTAATTACATATGTAGTTTTGCTTTAAATGGTAAAAAATTCACATTTCAAATTAAATTGTGATCTCCTATAATTCTGTTTATATTTCTGTTACTCCGACTATAACAGTTGATGGTGATACATTAAGGAGACTGAAATCACGTAACTGATATCTAATTAGGTGCAGATGTCATTGTCACAAACACCCAGTGAGACTATACAGCACACAGTCTCTACTGACTCAGTTTTCATCACCTCTTCTCTCTCTGCACTCCAGTTTTCACTTCTATGAATATTCTCTCCTCTCTTTGCCATTTCTTGTTAAGTGGCTATCTGCCTTGTCATGGTGCGGCCTCTGACCTCATCCATCCTCTGTGCTCTCTTTGCACTCAGACCATCATTAAGGCAATACTCTGGGCTGGCTTGTCAGAACTGGACGGGCTTGTCAGTCAGCGGCTCAGACAGCCGGGCTCATCGCGGCCTACGCTTCGCTCCTGTCTGCATCTCCTTCCTCCCACAAATACACGGATCAACTTTGATAACCTGGCGACACCCGCTCCCCTATCTGCTGCATACACCTTCAGTCATTCTGCGAGGCTGCCAGGCTGTGGCGATGGCACAGCTCTGCTTATCCCTGCTCAAGTAGGAAATTCTTATTCCTCGTCTTTTTGATCTTAATTATTTTTTCATGTAAAGTCCACACTGCAAAAATAACCCGCGGCCCCCCCAAAGTTGAATTAAAGATGGACAGCTCTAACTGGCAGCGAGAGGCAGCTGGTTGAAAACTTCGATACCCACACATTAATCAGTGTCTGGAAATTCCATGTTTTGTTTCAGACGTTCAGCCAGAAAATGACTTTTGAAAGCCAGACATCACTGCTGCACCTTGAGAAGCAAAAGCTGAGTCACTGTTATTGATCACCGTCCTCATCAGAGGTTTTCCTGCACAGAAATCGAAGTCAGCCGACAGTGTCATTTTCTAAGCCACCTTCATAAACAGATACGTACGTGTCGCTGGCAATTTGAACTGTATATTGTGTATATGCATTAATAAAAAGCTTGGGTTTAAAAGTTAGATATGTGCAACATAAAAAAATGACACCCATTCAAGTTAAGGTTTTGGAATACTGAATTATTTATGGAAAGTTATGCAGCTTGTCCAGTATTTTTAAAGCTTGTGGACATTTTGAGAATAAGTGGGTTGTGTTTTGTAAAGCAAGACTAGGTCAAAACCCAGTATATATGTCTGGACTGCCTGGGGTCAAATCCTGATTTCATAACTGTGACGTCGTCTGAGAAAATCACCAAACACATAAATTAAGGACAAAGACTGAGCTGTGGTTTCAGCTGGATTTACTGCAAAATGAGCCCTCAGAGAGAAAGTTAGAAGAGACACAATATCTTTCTTTTTTTTTATTAAAATTTTTTTAAGGCGTTTGACTTTATTTCAGTCGTGTGTGTGTGTGTGTGTGTGTGTGAGATAGAGATGACACAAGTGGCATGCGCTTCCACCAGGTGAAAGACTTATCTGTTCTTATTCAGTCTCTCACACAGCTCACAGCCTCCATCTGGATCCACAATAGTTTAGTCTTTATTTACTTCAACTCTGGAACGTAACAGACTTTTATTAGAGGCAGGTCTTCTTGTCTAACTCCCTCTGTTTGATATGTAGAGTTGGTCATAGCGATTAGTATGAAGCCTCTTTACCGATGACTTCTCTTTCTCCCTCCCTCTCTCCTGCTCTCTCTGCTCCGTGCGTCTTATGTTTAGTTAT